TCAGAGAGCAGTCTTTACCACTTAGCACAAAGGTGACACCAGGAACGAAGAGATCATCCATCTGCTGCCGCAGGCACCTCGAAATGTCAGTAGGTGACCCAGGGTAGACTTGAACCTAAGTCAGTGTGAGCTAACTGTACAACATGGGTAAATCAATTAACCTTTCTATGCTTTAGTTTGACTATAAATATTGCAAATGTAATTTTTATTACTTAGTTCACAAGATTTGAAAAAATATATATAAAAGTGTTTTGAAAAATACAAAGTGCCATAAAAATATACAGTGTTATTTCTTTTACAAAAGGTGGTAGAGGTCCATGTTACTTTATAGAAATTTACAAATTTGGCCATCTACATGCATGATTTAATAAATATATTATTTGTATTAATCACTATCCATATTATAAGGAATGATGTTGAACTTCATTTTAACTCAAACGGATGACCAACTGATGAATCTCTTCTGAATGTTTATTTATACATGATCGCAAATCAAATTGTCATTAATGTTTGGGCGCAATCATTGTAATAATTCAAATGGAGAAAACACCCATTTCTAATAGACATAGTAAACCATATAGCCATATCAATCATAAATGCTCTATCTTCAATGAAGTGAGAAGTATGTATGCTTACAAAATGTCTGACATACAACCCAATGCAATACCCAAGTGAACCAAAATTTTTAAAAAGTTGACTAGGATATCATTCTTGCCCTCTTATCTGGATTATTTTATTATTATTTCTTTCTTGTGAGACTAATAATTTATATTATATACAGGATGAGGCAAAAGTAGGTTTACAGTTGTTCATATGGAAAATAATACAGTGATTAATAAATAATAAAAGAAAAAACTCACAACTACAAACCTACTTTTATCCCAGCCTGTATAAATATACTATATATAAATTTCAGACTCAAAATTATGGTATTTTCTTCCTAAAAAGCTATGATATTTAGAAACTAGAGTACACTGTTTTGCAAGTAATTATTACTGATTATTGTCCTAAGCAGCATTTTTAAAGTTAATAAATTTTAAATCAAGAGATACAATCAATGATTTTATTAGGGTAAATAAAATTTGAGAAGTACAAATTTTACAGTTTCAAAATATTTTCTGTATAAATATTCAGAAAACTCACAACATACTGATTTATTGAAAAAAAATATAAGATACAGGGAAATGCCTAGAATTGTATAGGAAATGGAGAAGCCAAAGAACTTACATGCACAACCCATGGACATGAACTAAGGCTGGTGGGAAGGAGGTACCAGGCAGAGGCGGGCAAATGGGGGAAAACTGGGACAACTGTAACAGCATAATCAATAAAATATATTTTTAAAAAAATAAAAGAAAAAATTACTACACAGCCTAAAAACATGAAGAATTATCTCAAAAAAGAATAGGATCACACTTCTTGACTAATGCATCATCAAGTATCTTTTCAGTGAGGCAACAGAATGACTTTCTTCAATGGTTTAATAATGAGCTCTTCTAAAGTTTTCAAGTCCTGTCCAAAGGTAGTACAAATTGCAATATTATAAGGAAAAAGACACTGCTTCTCACATTTATCTGTGCATGCATGTGTGTATACATATATACATACACACACACATATGTGTGTATATATGTGTGCATACATATAATCTTATACATTTAAAAATATATAGGGTGGGGCAAAAGTAGGTCTACAGTTGTGAGTAAGCCTACTTTTGCCCCACTCTGTATATGTTAGAGAGAGAGATATCAACATTTGTTTGTTGTCTTTGGGTTGAACTAAAGTTAATGTGGCATATGGAACCTATAGAGTTTACTATAAAAATATACATCCTTCTAACAGTAGTCATTGCTTATAATATTCTTCAGTACTTCTATTTTGGAAATTTTATATTCTTTTTATTTTAATATTGCATTAATTTTTCAATTCTAAAATCAAATAATTTTACTATAATTATGTTTGAAAATATATGGCCTTTAGTACTATTTGTGAAAAACAAAGAATTCCTCCTGAATGTTTATTCATAACTTTCCTCCTATTACATAATCTAAGTTTTGTAATACAAAGTCAATTGATTAAAAAGTGAAAAAGTCAAACAATTGTGACCTATATTCCCTGAAGTGAATCGTTTACTATTAAATCATGTAAGTACATCAGTAGACACAGGTCTTCTATCTCCATGCCTACTGCCACATGTTATCAGCAAAATACTTTGCATTCCTTTACAAAACAAAAAATAACTTATTAATATAATGAATACTGTGATGAGTCAAAACCTGTTACTACAGAGCAGACTACAGAGAGAACTAAACTTAGTTGTTTTTCATTCTCAGTTCCATTACCTTTATCAAAGCAGCCTTATCAAGTACTATATTGCAGGGTAGCTATGGTTGATAATAGGATGTTGGTATACTTGACTAAGAATATTCATCCCTATCATTGATTTTAGTGGTTAATCTTCCTTTAAAAATAATTCATTCCTGAATGGTAGTGCATACACCTTGTTTAATGTGTATAATCAATTTTTCAAACTCAGTTCTTGAAGCTTTAGAAAACAAATCTTGTACATATGGCATAATAGCTTGCACTAAATATTCAGCTCTGTTCTACTCTACTCTGTGTATTGTATTTCTAAGTCTTCTATTAAAAATATGAGTCTGAAATGGTAACATAAAGAAATTATTAAAATATTATGTATTAGGAACTTTTGAGCAAAAATGGTGGGTTGGAGAAGGATAACAGACTGTCCCATTAGTGCATAACAAAATGAACCACTCTTTTGTCTCCCAAGAGGATAAGGGTGGAGAATGAGACAATAATTCAAGAATGAAAAACAACTTTGTGCCCTTTTAGGATAAAACCTTTATTGTATCCCGGGAGAGAAAACAGAAGATGCTGGTACAAAGTTTTGTGTTTCTTAATGTGTTCCCGTTGCCCTCAATGCCCTCTCCCAGTTTAAAAAAAAAAAAAGTAAAAAATAATATTAAGAGTTCTTAATTAAACTCTCAAATTCAGAGAAAAGCAACCTGGATAGGAAGTCATGGGAGAAGTAAAGGGAAACACTAAAGAATAGATGTCAAAAAAAAAAAACTGCTAATGGATCTCAGGAGAGGCATATGGGGTGAAGCCGCATTTCCTGCTGCCAGGTATTGTGCTAATTGGGCTATTGTACAGCTGATGTCCTCAGAATAAAGCCCTGGGTGTGATAAAGCCCTGGGTGGGTCGAATGGGCTCTAGCAAAGGACATTTAGGAGGGTCTCGGAAGAGTGATTTTCAACCATTTTTATAGTGTTCTTTGCTACTCATGTTTTACCATTAAATCTTTAATACAATTGTTTTATCCAATGGATGACATAAAAAGTACTAAATTTATCACAAAGAAAACAACTGATAAATTGACCTACACTAAAATTAACAACATATGTTCATCAAAACTGACCCTGATGAGATTGACAAGACAGTCCCCAGAATTGGAGAAGGTATTTTCTATGCATATGTTTTACAAAGAGCATGTATCCTATAGGCATACATATAGATATAAATATGACATATACATTGATACCTGTATAATCAACAACAGAAAAAATAACCAAATAGGAATATGAACAAGAAATACAAACTGACACTTCACAAAAGAGGATGTCAAAATAGCCACTAAACATGAAATTATGTTCAACTTCCCTAATATGAAGAAAACTAAAGCTACAAAATAAACAAAATAGTTAAATCTACAATTTGACCATCTCGAGTGATGGTAAAAATATGGATCAGCTGTAACTCTTACATATACTGCAGGTAAGATATTAAATTGAAGTGTCATTTTGGAAAACTGGCAATAGCTGCTAAATTAATCATAAACTCACAGAACAATTGATCTCCTAGTTATACACATAAGAGAAGCACATGCACTTCAACACATGAGACACATATGAGATTGTCATAGCAGCATTATTCACAGTAGCCAAAAACTGGGAGGGGAATGTCTATTTATAGAAAAAGGGAATAACTGTTATTTAATAGAATATTAAAGCAATGGAAATTAACAAACTCAAGCATGAATGTGATCTCTCAAATATAATGTGCAAAAGCACATAGACACAAAAGAGTATATATAGTATGATCCACTAATATGAAGACTACAATCAAGCAAAAGTAGTCCTAGCTGCTAAACATCAGGATTGTGGTTACTTCTGGTGGAGGAAAGAAACAAGTAGTGATTGATAGAATTTCTGATAATGTAATAATATTCTTTTTTCTTAAATTGATAGTGTTTGCATGACCAGATTCACTTTCTGATAATTCACTGAGCTATATGCTTAAATTATGTGATACTTCTGTATGAGTTAAATTCTAATTAGGAGTGTTTTTAAAAGAAATCTACATACTTACATGGGAAGATGTCTAAAATGTATTGTTAAATAAAAAGAGAAAGGTGAATAAAACTATTTCTTACATTATTTTATTTTTTTAAATAAAATCATACTATAAAAATATTTTTATGTGGATAAATACACAATAGAAGAGAATGCATCAAAGTGAGATGAAGGATGGGCTGGAGGAAGGGAGAATGTTTCTCTTTTTTCTTTATGATTTATCATTTATTTTTATGAAAGATATTAAAATTAAAATATTATTAATAATAAGTCAAACTATTCAATATTCAGTATATGCCAGGTACTTTTCATTTATTATTTTATTTAATTATCACAGTAGTTCTAAAAATTAGTTGTTCTGATTATCCCATTATAATATATAAGGAAATGGTACTCAAAATAGTTATGGTCATCTCTCTAATAGTAAACAGAGTGAGACATTAGTCTCATATCAAATTAATGCTGTTAACGTCATGCTGTTTTCAGCCTGTGGAAATTATTGTGCCTTTCTAACATGGGACTGTTACATATTCCTTGAGGGCAAAAATTGTGTGTTAAATGAAAGATTGTCATTGAATACAGCACATCTAAGTTTCTCTCTAATATTCTGTAATTTTCTTCTTAAAGGTAGTGAGAAGAATTTTGGACAGCAGTTTCTTCATTTATTTCTTGTGGAAGGAAGGCCCACTCTTAAATATGGATGTGGAAGTTCCCAAAATAGCTTGACTCTTTCTGCTGATTATACCATTAACACAAATGCATTCATCCCCGTCACCATACGGTAAGTGCCCCACAGTAGTTCTGTGAACTCTAGTGCTCAGCCTTATTTTTTAAATGTTATTTATGTATATAACAGTCACCCAAATACAGAAAGACAGAAAGGTTCATCTGAAAATTGTTTTGCTAATCTTATTTTTTTCAGTTTTGTAGAGAACTAGTGGACATTTTGTCCTGTCCAAAACATCCACAAAGATATTTGGTCCATTCCAAAATGTCCTTGAAAGTTGATTCTATCCAGGACATGCACAGTTAATATAACTCCCATTTTCTGCAAGATTCTACCCCAACCCATCTGCCTGACCCATGTGCCATTACCAGTGAGGCTGCTGAGGCAAGAAGGGTTATTATTGACAGTGTGGCAACAGCAAAATTATTGGGCCAATAAAACATGATAGTATTTTGTATGTGTTACTCCTGTAAACCACAAGCATACATAAATGTTTGGGGCTATTTGAACTAAGGACCATTTGGCCCAGACCAAATGTCTCATTTCAGTAGATGTTTTAGACAAGCCAAATGTTCTGCAAGATAGTGGAGTAAACTACAAATTAAATTAAGATATAATTTGATATAATCAAGTTGTACACAAAAGGAATCGATTTCTTTGAAAATATCATGGAGCAAATAAAGTCAGGTTGTTCAGCTGAAGTTAAAATGGAGTTCAATTGTTTAATAAAATATCTTTTGAGTGAAAAGGGTACAGCTGTTAGGAATTGGTAGGGAGTTGGGGGCATGACTCTGCACAGAAAAAGGAAATCCAATAGAAAAAAATTAATATTAAATGGAAATATCTTTCTGGAACATACAGACTTTTGGAAGGCAGTCTTAAAATTAATCCATGCTTCAAAATAAGGAAATTGCAGAAGAGAGAAATGGCTACATGCAGTGGTCACACCCCAAGGGCATTACTGAATGAAATTTTCACAGAGCAGCCAAGAACTGAAACTTCTTCATCAGTATAGCAATCTAGCGATAATGGTCTCTAAAGTCACTCTAAAGTCAAGTTAAAAATAATATTTTGGGTCTGAGCTTATATGTTATATGACAACTAGAGAAGTGAGTCTGATCAGCAGGAGTCTTGGCTAACCTATGAAGGTTATAGAAATCAAATAAAATTTTCCAGGGTCTGCATCAGTCTAAAAATGAAATCGAGGAAATTGACACCAATCAGAAAGTTGAAATGCCTTATAAAAGTAAGGACAGTATCTTACTCATTTTTAATGCACCAAGCCAGGACATCAGAGGGGAAGCTGCTCCTTCAGTAAATGTCTGTAAACAAGGGATGAAGGTGTCTAGGCTGAGTAATTCAGTTGATTATAATAAGAAGGCAATGAAATTACCCTAAGGTAGAAAATTATAATTCATAAATTAGACACACCATTTAGGAACACTAAGATCTATATGGACAAAGCAAAATTTCAGATTATCTTTCTTACAAGGTTAGCAGTTGATCCCCCCTGCTGCTCCCACCACCCTACCAAAAAGAGGCAAATGAGAAGTTGAATAACATGGACACCAATTTAAAAGCTATTTCTGCTGATAATACCATAATTCTAAATAATAAATAATATAATCATTTCATATGAGCAATGGCACATCTGATTGAATACAACATCATTTTTATTTTTGGACAAACTTTCTTTAAATGATTTTATTTTTTGCCTTTAAGTAATAATAACCAAATGGGACAGTCTTCAAATAAACCACTCAGATCCTTAGGTAGCCTGAAGTTGAAATTATCTTGTAAAAAAAATCAATACTTTCAGTAAAACTGAAAACCAAAGACATTCCAAGTCTTTCAGTTAATTTTATCTAAAATTTAGAAAGTAAAAATACAGGTATCTGTACTGATGCAAAAATGAAAATTTGCCTTACCTCGAGGCAATATCCTATAAGACCTCAAAGTGACAATAGGTTGTATTAAAGGCTGACCCTACACCTATATTACACATTGTATATTACTGTTATATACAGCATTTAAATTCATATAATATAAATTATTTAAATTTCTGTAGTAAATTTTTGACGATTTTTTTCTTAATCCCTTCACCTATTTCACCCAGCACCCAACCCCTCTCCCTTTGACAGCTGTCAGTCTGTTCTCTGTATCTATGAGTCTGTTCCTATTTTGTTTATATTGTTCATTAGATTCCACATATAAGTGAATTTGTGTAGTATTTGTCTTTGTCTGTATATTTCACTTAGCATAATACCCTCTAAGTTCATCCACACTCTCACAAAAGGTAAGATTTCCTTCATTTTACAGCTAAATAGTATTCCACTGTGTAAATATACCACAGCTTTTTCACCCACTCATCTACTGATGGACACTTGGGCTGCTTCCAGATCTTGGCTGTTGTAAGTATCACTGCAGTGAATGTAGGGGGCATGTATTCTTTTGAATCAGTGTTTTGACTTTCTTTGGATATATTCCCAGAAGTACTATCACTGAGTCATAAGGTGGTTTCATTTTTAATTTTTTGAGGAAAATCCATACTGTTTTCTACAGTGGCTGCACCAGTCTGCATTCCCACCAACTACTAGGACAAGTATTCCTTTTCTCCACAAACTTTCTGACACTGGTCATTTGAAGATTTATTGATGATAGTCATTTTGACTTGTGTGAGGTGATAATCTCATTGTGGTTTTAATATATATTTCTCCGATGATTAGTTACACTGAGCATCTTTTCATATGTCTATTAGTCATATGTATGTCTCCTTTGGAGAAGTGTCTATTCAGATCCTTTGCTCATTTTTTAATTAAATAGTTTGGTTTTTGGTGTTGAGTTGTTTGAGTTCTTTATAAATTTTGAGTGTTAACTCCTTATCAAATATATCATTGGCAAATACATTCTTTCATTCAGTGGGTTGTGCCTTTATTTATTGATAGTTTCCCTTACAATGCAAAAACTATTTAGTTTGATGTAATCCCATTTGTTTACTTTTTCTTTTGTTTCCCTTGCCTAAGGAGATATATTAGAAAAAAATACAACAGTATGTTGATTACCATAGGGAAGGGAGGATGGGAGAAGATAGAAGAGGGTAAAGGGAGGATAAATCAATGTCATCACAATAAATTCAATTAAAGAAAAGAAAAATATTGCTACAAGAAATGCTCAAGATTTTACAGCCTATGTTTTCTTACAGGATTTTGATGATTTCTAGTTTTACATTTAGGATTTCCCATCCTTCACCAGGCATAATTTAACATAAAAAGAGTGGGTCTTGTTTTACAGCTCATCCTAGCATCCTAATTCTCATAGACAAGATTTTTTCTATGCAAATTCATAATAAATCTCTCCCTGAAAAGCGTGTGAATTAGGTTATTTTTAATTGTATGAATATTGATGGAGTTTTTCTTATATTTAAGTGTTCTTAATAAAATACCATAGCCAGATTGGTAAGAACTTATTTTCAAAAATCAATGGAATGACTTCTAAGGCAAACATGTAGAAGATGGCTTTGAATTTTATTTTGTTATTAGCCCCAGAGAATAAACATGTCAGTATGTCCTCATACTAAATCTGCTTTATATCTGTAGGGTATATAACAGAAGTAGAACAAACTTGAATAAACCACTTGTAGTAATTGAGGTCAATTCAGTATCAAGGTAGAAGTTCTTCTTAAATGAAATGGAGCAGAGATCACAGTTCTATAGATACATTGTAATTCATACTCATGCACAGTTTGTCTTTCATTTAAAAAAAAATTTGAAAGGGATCACAGAGAGTGAGCCTTGGTTTTCACAAAGGTTATTCTCCTTCAGCAAAGTTTAGAAAAATTGTCACACAATATATATAGTTTTTAAAGTTTCTGAAGTTTACATTTTTCTGGTACCTTTTGTGTCTTTCCTATACAAAAACTGTTTCTTTATCTATTATTTTGTTCTCTAAAGAAGTTCTATACTCTTTTCCCTAGGTTATTTACTGTGTTGTCTGCATGTTTAAAAGCCACATAGCCTATTCTGCCTTCACTGTATTCCACCATCCCAAACACCTAACAACATTTCCTCAAATATTCATCTTGAGGTATAAAGTTACCCATGTATGAATCTAAGGTACACTCTAATATCTAATCATTAATTTTGGTTAGTAAGCTCTTAGGGTAGCCAAAGTTAAGTGGATGTTGGCCAAGAATTGCATGCCAGAATACATCCCTATCAGCTACATTTTGGTAGCATATCAGTGTAAAGAAATGCACACTGGGTTTAATACCAATTGGATAAAAGCTAGAAAAGTTTCTAAGTAGCTGGGCAGCAAGAAGCCTAACCCTACTCAAACATCAGGTAAAACGATTGCAATTATTTTTGTCACATTACGTTCTTAGATATCTGGCCAAGAAAAGAAAATAAACTAATAAAAACTGCTGCTGAGTTTTGTAAATGAACTCATTGTTACCTCCTGTTTGATCTTATTATTATTTTCCACAGTTGTTTGATGAAGGAAGTAGATTAAAAATTTATTATAATGCAAAACCAACATTAAACTCGGAAAATGGGAAATGAAAAGGATTCTGAGTAGGATTGATTTTGACTATATCAAATGAAGAGATTTACTAGTAAATTATAAAAAATAAGAAAGAAAGAAAATACAGCTTCTTATAATATTCATATTTAATTTGTCAAATGCCTTTCAGAAAACTCTGCTCAAAATCAGATTCTAGTGCTTTGCCATTTTCCCACATAAATGCTTTGTTATTACAACTTGCTGCCCAGCTGGTATTGACTTATAACTCCATATAGAGAATGAACAGGAGACTTATTCAGGTTTATGTAAAAAGAAAGAATATCCATAATATATTATCAACTGTAATTTTGAGAACAACTGAGAATGTTCATGTTTCTGATATTCTAAAATCTATAAAAGTTTCTCTCACAGTCCTGATAGTTAATGTATATACACTATGGATTGTCTGCATTTAGTCTTAGAGCCAAGAAACTGTGTCATAGTGAGAACCTTCACTTCTTGAAACAGATGGTGACTTTTGAACTGTGCTAAAT